ACAGAACCCTTGGGCCTGGTGGTGGATTGACCCTGACCCAGACACAAGCACTGGTGTGGGTCAGCACTGCCAGTCACCCATCCAGAACTGCAGCAAGAGGGCTGCTATGGAGAAATCCACTCCAGCCCAGCTAAACCAGTGTAGTCCTAATCGTTCTTTTCCTGCATCTTGAGGAGTTTGCCATTTCTCCAGGATATCCATTAATCTTGCTTCCAAAAATTTCTGTTCAAATCTCTCCTCATTCCTGGCATAGTGCTGCAGACACTCAGATTTCCTGGGCCTTTGCCACATGGTTGGCCAGGGCTCTTTTGTCCTGGTGCTCGAGAGCCACCTGCTTTTCACAGGCTGGAGCACTTTAGGGAATGCAGCCAGTTATAGGAAGACTTCAACCACTTTCTCATTTCACAACAAGAAATTTTGGTAGAGGTGCCAGAGGAAAACGTAGTTATCTTCCCTTTCATCTGATTGCTTATGACACTGTGGTAGAAGGTGTGAGCAAGGACCCTCCTGTTGCCCACATCCTGCAGGAAACTGGTGCTGGCCAACTGCAGAATAGGTTGGATGCGTGTCCATTGTTCCCACTGCTCCCACTCACCCACTGCTCCCACGCACTTCAGAGGTGAGGCCGGGACACAAGTAAGCATTAAAAATATCTGAAGCTGATGAAACAGCAACTTTTGTTCTCGAGCAAGAAGGAATCCAGCCACTTACACTGTGTAAGTCAAACGGTGCAGCTCTGCAGTGTTTTGTGATAACCCCAGGCAGGAGGGTGCTGGGGGGTCTTGCCTTTCTCTAACAAGAACTGCAGCAGAAGTCTGCAAACTGCTCAGTGCTTGTGGGAGGGAAAAAAAAATGCCATTATGGAACTTATTTGGAAATCGTGGCTCCTAATTTAGAAAACGGGGCAAGAGAAAGCAAAAAACCCACCGGCTTAACAGGGCAGGGAAGAAGGGGGCAAAAAAAGTGGAGATGCCGGGGATTGAACCCGGGGCCTCATACATGCAAAGCATGCGCTCTACCACTGAGCTACATCCCCTGGATGAACAAGCCTTACTGTACAAACGATAAACAGACACCGCCACCCGCACGCCGGGCCCGGCGGCCACACTGCGCCCGCCCCGCGCTCCTCCTGCGTCCATCCCGCCCCCCTCGCTCCGCGCAGCCCCGCGCGGGGCCCCGGGAGCCGCAGGGCCGCGGGAGCGGCGGCGGCTCCGCCCGGGGCGGGAACTGCACCGTTATAATGCAAGGCGGACAAACATTGTCATGTGTCCGTCCTCGTTAGTATAGTGGTGAGTATCCCCGCCTGTCACGCGGGAGACCGGGGTTCGATTCCCCGACGGGGAGGTCCTCCTATATTTTGTCCCCGGACGCCGTTTTTTTGCGGGCGGCCCCGCGCAGGGATCTGCCCGTGACGTGCTGTGGAACCGCGGGGCCCCGTCTACCCCCGCGAGAGGGGCGGGGTGGAATCGGGACTGCTGCATTTTGTGCCAGGGCAGGGCGTGCCCGGAGGGGTGCCTGGGTACCGTGGAGTGGACATCAGTACGCGGGGGTGTGTGACCTCCGGACACGCCAGGGACGCTGGTGCCGCGGGGGTGGGACCCGCGCGGAAGGACGGGCACGGCCGGGCAGCGGCACCTGGGGGGGGGGAACTGGGCGGGGTCGTATCCGCGGCCAGCGAGGGCGCCCTCGCCCGCCGAAATAGCTCAGTTGGGAGAGCGTTAGACTGAAGATCTAAAGGTCCCTGGTTCGATCCCGGGTTTCGGCAGAAGCTTTTTCGTTCCCCGTGCGGGTGACGGCCCATGCTTTTGCCGCCGGGCGGAGCGGGGCCGGGGCTGCGCTCCCTGAGTCGGGCGAGGGGCGGCTCTCCCGGTGTCACCGCAGGCGCTCAGGTGGGTGAAGATTGTGTGGCAGGAACCACTTCCCGGAAGACGGCAGCAGTGGAGCAGGTCCCGGGTCGTCACCTCGGGCATGACCAGGCGCGCAGGAAGCCGCTATCAAGCCGTCCTCGTTAGTATAGTGGTGAGTATCCCCGCCTGTCACGCGGGAGACCGGGGTTCGATTCCCCGACGGGGAGGTTGTGAGCACTTTTTTCCTTAAAATTCATTTTTCTTCTTCCCGCACGAATTTTTCCAATTTCCGAAGGACGAAAAAAAAAAATAAATCAGTTTTGTGTGTGCGAACCAGCGCGTTTCCATGTTTCTGAGGGTTGCGTGAAGACCGCAGAGAGGTCTGTACACTGCAGCGCTCACAGCCCTCCCCAGGCCCGGCGGGGACCTGGTGCCCGCATCGCTCTTCCCCGCACCGGGGACAGGGGAGCGCGGACAGGACCGAATTGGGCGGCGGGCAGGAGCGGCCCCGCGGGCAGGGGGATGTAGCTCAGCGGTAGAGCGCATGCTTTGCATGTATGAGGTCCCGGGTTCAATCCCCGGCATCTCCATGGAGTTACTGCTCTTTTGGCTTTTCCCCCCTTCCCCCCCATCATGTCTTTTATCCAGTTAAAGTCGCCATTTCTCGTTAAACAAGCAGCAAACCGCGCCATGACCCTGCTCCTCAAACGGGTGCCCTGTAGCACACCTTGGTGGCACAAGATAGCTTTTTTTTTTGTTACTTGTTTCTCCTCAGGCCTGTGCAAACACACACGGCTCTTGTGTTCTGCTGGGGTTCTGTCGCCACGCCAAGGCCCTACAGATGCAGAGCAGCCCAAAAGGAGGGACAAAGCTCCAAACCCCAAAACGCAGGGGACACTGGCCAGCCCCACCTGACACCTCCTCATCCCACAGCCTGGCAGAGCTGGGGACGTGCAGACCTGCAGCCACAGAGAGCTCACAGTCTCTGCTTCATATTCCCAGAGCCAAAGAGGAGGAACAAACACCAGGACACCCCGGGTGACTGCAGTCACTGGCTGTGACAATGCAGGAGCTTCTCCCCTTCTCCGAGCTGGCTCTGCAGTGCCCACTCACCTCCACTGTCCTGCTCAACCCCTCAGCAGCGTGGGCAGCTTTGCCCAGAGCAGCTTGGGAAGAGCTCTTGGGGAAACAACCTCCCTGCTTTGATCTCCTCAGGCTGGCTGGGCTTATCAGGAAACCCTTTGGAGCCAGGAGGGCTGAGTTATGGCACAGCTGAGAGTTTTGGCCCAGAGAGACCAAAGCCCACGTAGAGCCTGAAACAGCTTTTATATTCACAGTTCAGTGGCAGCTGTTTCATCTCACTGTTCAGTTACCAACAGTGAATCCAACAGCAGTGGGAGATGATTGGTGACAAATGCAAAGTGACATTTCCTGCCACAGTGGCTGAAAAGCTCCTTGTGCTATTTATTTACTCATCTGACTTCCAGTTGTTATTTTGAGCCAGTATTTGGCTACAGCACTGCTAAGTGTGAATATCCCTGTTGTAAATCACTCCCTGGATCTCCCTGGGCAGCTGTACCTCTGGAATATGCCCTGCATATAAATATATGAAATAGTTTGTTCTGACAGGCACAAAGTAACTTTTTGGCACAGGAAATTGGTATTTGTCAGTAAAGCAGGTCATGGTCTGTTAAGATCAACATCCCACTATTCATCAAGCCTGCACTGAAATCCTAAACGATGGATACTCAGACAGGCAGGGTAGGATAAACACGGGAGGGCTTTGTTCACAGAAGTCCTCTCCCAGCTCAGGAAACACTGTCCTCCTGCAAACCACACAGATGTGTTTAAGGACTATTGGATGAGGGCCAAACATCTGCCTTGCCAATCTCAACCTTTAAATGTGTGGTCCTCCAGTGTTTGATTCAGACATCACGTATAAACTCAGGGTGCTCAGTGCTTGGCTGATTACCCTAATTAGGTGAAGGACAGCACTGTGTCATCTTATTTCTTCCTGTTACAAAACTCCATCTTGTCAGGAACTACCTTTCCATGTGCATTTTTGACTATTTTCAGACCAGTCCTGAGTGCTCCCTCTGTAACTAAAAGAACAAGCTTAACATTAATATTCAGCTGAGGAAAGACCTAAACCTGGAAGGCTTTTCCAATCTTTGATGTTTATTCAAATCCCAATGCACAGAGTCAGCCACTGAGCATTGAAAAGAAACCAAAAGACTTCTGTGGATTTTTTTTTTGTCCCCCGTCTAAATGACCCGAGTGTTTGAGATTATTATCACTGCTGCTGCGGTGAGCGTGGTGAGCGTTGGTACAAACACGAGGCAGCAGAGGCCGAGGAGCTCCCCAGAGCGTTCCCCCCCTGTAACAGCTCCATGTGTCAGCCAGACACAGGCAGTTTCCCTCAAACCAATCACAAAGCTGTTGCTGGGCCTCTGCTCTGTTCCTGCTGGTGAGCAGTCCTGGGTGTTATCTGTGTCCCTTCCATTTTCCTTGGGCGCTGGCAAACGAAGGATTTCGTAGGCGGATTGGACCGAATGGCGTCTCCTGAATCTTGCAGACAAAGCCCCGTTTTGTTCTCAGCCATGCCCTGGAGTTGCTGTGCAGTTTGAGTGGGACGGCACAGGAGCCAACTGAGTGCAGCAGAGATCTACCAGAATGTGCTCTGCAAGAGCAGAATAAGAAATAGGCATAATTCTGATTTGTTTAGGATTGAATTTACCCCAGTGGCAAGGCCTTAGGCCTGAATTATGAACTCCACGATAGCTCAGATGCATAGTCTACTTTATGTGTGTGTATATAAACACTCATTGTATCTCAGGCAGATCATCTGCAGGACTTGGAACTCTTTATCCATCAGGCCTTTTTGGTCCCTCATGTCACCTCTCCACCCCAGGCAGGAGCCTCCTGTAGCCCCCCTTTCCTGAGGTGGTCCAGCCTCGGCGGGTGTCCCAGCAGCATCTCCTCCCTGTCCCACGGCCATGGTGGCACTGAGGGTCTGGCACGACCTGCCCGTCCCAGCGGGGTTGTGCCCCCAGGTCTAAAGCCCTGAATAAAACGTGAGGCTCTGAGATAAATCTTTAAACATGGGCATGTCTCCGAGGTGGGCTTGCTGAGGCGCCACGGTCGCAGTCCCGCTCCGGAGGCGGCTCCATGCCGGGTTTTCCCGGCGCTGCTCACGCCCCTCCCGCCGCCCCGCGCGCGCTGGACGCAGCGCACCCACGCGCAGGGCGCAGATCCCTCCGCGCTGCCGCATCCCGCCTCAGCCCACGCAGGAGAGCGGCGGCGCGCGGGGCCGAGAAAATAGTGCGCGGCGGAGTGATCCGGCACCGGGGGCGGGGCGCGCGAGACCATATAAGGGGCGGGAGGGGGATGTGTGGCGCAGTTGGAGCTGAGTGAATCTGTGCTGGTGTTCTGTCGGCTTGGCCTGCCAGCCCCGCGGTGAGTGCTTGGCGGGGGGAGCCGCTTGGCCTGGCGGCGACAGGGCTTAGATGCGTGCTGGGTGTCTGGGCGGGACACACAGAGTGTATGTGCGCGCTGAGAGAGAAAGGGCGATGGCTGGGGTCATTGGCGGGCTGTGATGGCGGGGTGAGGACCAGGGCGTTGCCCTCCCCTTAACGGCAGCACCACGAGCCGGGGGCGGAGAAGGGAAGGACGGGAGGGGCGAGGGCGAGCGGCCACCAGCGAAATGGCGGCGGCGCAGGCGCAGCCGCCCCTCAAGATGGTGGCGGGCGCGCGCCGCGGGCGGGAAAGGGAAGAGACGGAGACCACGCCCACATCCCGGAAAGGGCGGGGCCGTTGCTGTGACGTCACCGCCGGGGAGCGCGGCCCCGGGGAGCGGGAGCGTTACTAAAGCACAGCGGGTTTGTCTCTTCCAGGGAAAAATGCAGATCTTCGTCAAGACCCTGACTGGCAAAACTATCACCCTTGAGGTGGAGCCCAGTGACACCATTGAGAATGTCAAGGCCAAGATCCAGGACAAGGAGGGCATTCCCCCAGATCAGCAGAGGCTGATCTTCGCTGGGAAGCAGCTGGAAGATGGTCGCACTCTGTCTGACTACAACATCCAGAAGGAGTCCACTCTGCACTTAGTGCTGCGCCTCAGAGGTGGGATGCAGATCTTTGTGAAGACCCTGACTGGCAAGACCATCACCCTGGAAGTGGAGCCCAGTGACACCATTGAGAACGTCAAGGCCAAGATCCAGGACAAGGAAGGCATTCCACCTGACCAACAGAGGCTGATCTTTGCTGGGAAGCAGCTGGAAGATGGTCGTACCCTGTCCGACTACAACATCCAGAAAGAATCCACTCTGCACCTTGTCCTGCGCCTGAGAGGTGGGATGCAGATCTTCGTGAA